CACACACACACACATCCACACACACACACATCCACACACATCTCCACACACACACACCTCCACACACACACACACACATCTCCACACTCACACACCCCCACACACACCCACCCACACACCCACACCCACATCCACACACATCCACCCACACACATCCACACACATCCACCCACACACATCCACACACATCCACCCACATACATACACATCCACACACATCCCCACACACACACACACACACATCCACCCACACACACACACACACTTACACACACACACACACACACACACACACATCCACACACATCCACACACATCCACACACATCCACACACACACTTTAAAATGGTGGAAAATAAGCCAATATTGCTCTAGTCAAAGCATACCTATGGCTGAGCACTCTGCCACATATTAATAGGATTGCCAACCACCTATGTTGTCATATTGAGTGAATCTTATGTTCCTCCATACCTGGAAGTACCAGATATTGTCTTCACTCAAAACAGCTCAATGGAGCAAAGAGGAATGAAGGAAATGAATGAATATGCTGCTGGGGAGGAGAGCATTCAAGTAAACCTGTGGCTTTTCCCAAATATAAAATTCAGAGAAGCATTGTTATTGGTTGATTTGGCAGTGAGAAGCTGGTTCTGTGTTACAACTCTATGGTGAGTGGAAAACGGTGAGATGAACCCCTGACATACTATGAACAATGTATATACATAGTGTTATATAGTGATGCCCAGTTTCTGTTTTGGAGTCTTTCAGAAGCTATAGTACCGAGAAAAGATACATTTTGAAGTACCTGGTAAAACAAAGATATATATGAAACTTTCAAAATATAGGAAGTAGAACCAAATATAAAACAAATAGTTTAATAGTTTATTATCAGTGCAAAAAAGCATACAAAATTTCTTGACAATGTTATGTTATGCAACTCCATTAATTAAAATAAAAAATTAATTACTTAAGACTATTTTATCCAGTGCCGGAGTGACACACTGGATGTGATGTCGGAAATATGACATCAGAGCAGAGGTTTAATAATAATGTTCGACCTCTGGGTGCTAAAATACATCAGTCTCTGACCTATGAAAATTTGACATGACGCGTGTATAAACAGATCAAAGTAGAAGATAACACAACAAAAACCTAAACATTTTCTTGAGCGCAAGGTGGGTCCATGTTGGCTTAGAGTGGAGACCAAGCTGCATGTACAGTATGCGGTTGTGCTTCTGTGTTTACTCAATCATGCATGTAAACACTTTACATGCATGCAGCACACAGTGAACCATCAGTATGTGTCTGGACGCATCCAATATGGACTTTGGTCATTCACAAATAAAGTAGAATCTCTTAGTTACAATGATTTCCTTCTACTGTTGTAAATAGTCTTTTGGCAATGAAAAGGTTTACCCAAACATTAAATTAAGATTGTCCAATGCCAACCAGTAAGGCTATAAGGAATACCAGGTTTCCAAAGATGAATACCCCGAGAGCTACTGATTCCGGGTGGGCCTACAGAAAAGAGTACATCATTAAATTAAAAATAATGAAGTAGAAGTTGAACAATTGTCTTTAAAATGTTACTACCAAGATGTTTGCCTGTTCCTTGATTGGCTAATTTGCAGTAGTATGATTTATTTTAAGTGTGTCATTTACGTGGATTACACATCGCTTTGTAATTTGTCAGTGTAAATAATGTTCTTAAGGCATCAGAGACAGGGAAACCGAGATGGGGGGGGGGGGGGGGGGCAGTGTAACATTATGACTGTTCCTCAGTCATACAACTAAGCATTATGGTGTTGAATGAACATCACAAGCATGTTGTTAATTAACATGATGTGCAATAATTTAACATGGCCATGGGAACTGTAGCATGTAAAGTCAAGAAACATGGCCATGTTAGCACACAGCTCATCAAAAATAGCTCTGCATGGCAGTCATGATATTATATTGTCTCTCTTCCTATTCTTAAAGCCTCAAATGCAAAACTCCATATACCTGTGTATGACATGATGCAGTGGCGGAACAATCACCATAGTGACCCAGGTGGCCGCTATGGGGCCCGGGGTACAGGGAAGCCAGGCCAGGACACCCCCCTGATGCTGCGCAGGCCACCTGGGTCACTATGGCATCTCAGGCTGCCGGCTGTCACTAGCAGCTGTGAGGAGGAACACGCTGCTGTTCAACTTCAGATCACTGACAACCTGTCAGTGATCTGTGCAACGGCGTGTTCCTCCTCACAGCTGCTGCCGAGTCAGTGACAGCCAGCAGCTACGGTGGAGGAGGCGTTGGCAGCAAAGGTGGAGGCGGGGCCCCGGTGATGGAGATATTGGGGCCCGGGGGTGGAGGAGGCAAGGCCCAGTTATGGAGAAGGAGGAGGCGGAGAGCGATCGGGGCTGACAGGTAAGAGGGTTTGACCAGCCCACCTGAGACCCTACAGAGCCCACCATATAGAGCAGGGGTGCCCATTAGGTAGATTGCGATCTACCAGTAGATCGCGATCGGCTCACTGACCTGTGTCCTGTCCTCCCATGGTGCACGTGTCACATGCTGAATGTGTCAGATGCCACAGACGGGAAGGAGAGAGGAGAGGAGACTTGGGAAGCTGCTGCCGTGGAGGTAAGAAAAGACAGACAGGAGAAAGTGAGAGAAGAGACTGCAGAGAAAGTGAGAAGAAACAGAAGAGAGAGAAGAGAAAGCAGATAGAAACAGGGGAGAGAGCGTGAGGAGAGAGAGAAGAGGGCCAGTTCACACCACAAAGTCTGCGTTCCAGAGTGTTCGGCCTCTAGAGCGCATTGGAATGCAAGCTGGCCATCTCCCTGCGTTCAGGGGCGTGGCGGTGCATTGTAGTCAATGGCACCACAGCCACGCCCCCCACCTTCTGTTTGATCGCCCGCACCTGGAATGCAGGCACATTAATTCCTGCGTTCCGGTCCAGTGCAATCTGCAAAAATGCAGCATTTTTGCAGATCGCACTGGACAGGAACGCAGGCACTAATGTGCCTGCATTCCTGGCGCGGCGATTGCACTGGCGGTGTGGCTGCAGTGCCATTGACTTTAATGCACTCCCGCCCCTGAATGCAGGTGTTTTTTCATTGGTAGATCTCATTGAGCTTGTCATTTGAAAAGTAGATCTCCAGACGAAAAATTGTGGGCGCCCCTGATATAGTCTATGGTGGGCTCTGCAGGGTCACTCTCAGGTGGGTTGTTTGGGATATCAGGTGAAAGTAACTAGAAATCATAGGGCACCATACAAAATTTTGCTATGGGGCCCTGTGATTTCTAGTTACGCCCCTGACATGATACTTCCTGTAGCTCTTTACACGCTTTTATATATTGTATGTATTGTAGGACCTGTGCCAAGAGCCTTAGTATTTGCTAGGAATAAATGTGTTCATGTTGTGAAAGACTTTTATTATGTCCCATATACGCGAGGTATCAATACTGCATGAGGGTTGTCCTAGTCTCCTTTATGTTGCTGAGCACATTGTACTTATGCACCAACCGTGCAAACATACAACAGGGAATTCATGTGCACATCAAGGCATTACATGCAAGAAGACTATCATTGCAATGTTATGAGCAGAAATAGAAATTCCACATTGCATCCACCACAAGTTACCAAGTCTCATGAAAATGTTCCCATCGACTCCTCTTCCTAATATGCACAGACGCCACAGCCCCATTCATTTCCTATAGCTAAGCTGTATTCTAGCCTTTCTGTGGAACATGACTTACCTATAGAAATAAAGGAGTATGCAGAATAAGCCAGTGGAGACATTTTCAGGAGAAAGAGAAAGGTGTGCAGCATCTGGCAAGGCCAAAAAGTGAGGATGTCTTGCAACAGGGAGATAAGTGTTTAACATGGAACTCTGCACTCAGGTGATGGGAGGATTTATATCTATTTCATTGTTTCAATGACTGACAACATTTACATTTAAAAGCACTTTCTTTTATGCACTTTCTTTCTATATAAGCATGACACAGTGCCACTTCTTACCTTCTGTATACTAGGTGTAATTCCCAGTATCTGTTTTTATGCTCTACAAATGGACTGTATACACAGTAGAGCCTCACTTGTTGTGTATGATATGTGTACATCTTACTATCTGTCCTAATTCTCTATGTAGGGAACACTGCTCAGTAACACTTTGCTTGTACTATATGTTGGGTGTAATTCTCAGTATCTGCTCTCATTCTGAATGTATGGATGCTTCACAGTAGCACTTCTTTTGTTCTGTGTTCTGGGTGTAATTCTGAGTAATTGCCCATTAGCACTTTTTCCCCTGTAATTCTTAGTATATGCAATCATATCTGCATAGAAAAAGCTCTCGCAATTTAGAAAGTCCAACCCTTGTTGCTGCCCCCTCCCGCTGCTCTAGGCACTAGCTTACAAATCATAGTAAATAAAACCCTGCCACTTCTAGTCTTCTACTAGCTGAAGTCTTTTCATGACATAACTTATCATTTGTACACAGTCAGGTAGGCAAAAAAAAAAAAATCATCGCCGGACAATAGGAAACTATTGGGCGGCGCTAGCTGTCATTGCTAGCTCTGCACAATCGTTTTCTATTTACTTTTTTTTTACTTTTTAAACAATTTTTCTGTTCTGCTCGGTACCTCTGAGGGACCGAGCAGAACAGCCGAGCCGAATGCCGCTCAGCGCTGTTCACTCACTGCTGTTCGGCATCTATAAGAATAGGCCGAACAGCAGTGAGTAGCCTGCCGGATGTTCGGCTCAGCCGATCCAGATGTTGGATCGGCTGAGTCGAACTCCTTCTGCACTTTGGGTTGCCTGAACGTGCTGAGCATGTTCGGCCGACCCGAAGCCATCTGAAGCAGGCCGATGTACGGCTGATTTCAGCCGATGTATGGCTGAAATCACCCGTACCAGCCTCAAGTGAATAGCCGAACAGTGTTCAGCTCACTTCAGGTCTGTCATTCACTCGGCTGCCCTCGGCAGCTTAGTGAATAGACCCCATAATATATCTCAAACTTGGAACCTCTAAATGTCCCCTATGACTGGAGTTTTGCATGCCTATGTGTCCTATGTAAATGTACTAACCCACCACAACACAGTATATATGGAAGTGCAACTTAATGAAAATGGCTTTTTTTTTAGCCAAAATAACACATACACTTACCTTACCATCAGGATCTTCATATACATCTGAAAAATAGTAAATAGAAAAAAAATTAAGCCAATAATGTGTTATGTTTATATTATTCATTCACACCATTAACTAGAATCCCTCAGCTGTAAGCTGGCAACATGAGCATGATTCAAATTATTCAAGATCTTTTTTCACATTTATCTTTTTAGCTTTTGCAAATGATACAACAAATTCAAGCGCTGCTTGCTCAATGCGAGTTGGTTGAGTAGGGGTTAACTATCCAAAAAGAGACAAAGGTTTTTGAGTGTAAGAAATTGTTATTGCATACAGATTTTACAGATGTGCCAATCTATGGAGAACATGGAGCAATAAATATGCTTCCATGCCATCCAGCATAGAAGCTGGAAAGAAGATCAAGTGATAGTGCAATGCTGGAAAGGACACGCATCTTACCACTTGTCACTTTCTTTGAGAATTTGTCCCTCTATGGCCATCCAAGGGGCATGTGAATGTAATGTAGCACCCTGTAGGCAGGAGTGCTATTAAATTTAGTATTTTCTGATTGTATGCAGTCTAATGCTAATCAGTAAAATATGTTCATTTAGTTTCCCGTAAGCAATCTGTCATCGCTTGCATCTGTCTGCTTCTGGGTATACCTTGGCCACATAGCAGAGCAACCAATGAGTAGATATCCCTTTCCAGCCAATCACTGTGAGGTTAATGGCCAGTGGTGCATGCTGGGGGAAGATAAATACTTTGGGTGGACCATGTGAGCTCTCTTTTCCTCCCTGGGCCCTGCCTGTGGGGAGGCTGCTATGAACTTTCTGGGCCTGAATCCTGGGGACTAGCCAGGTGCTTGTACTGGGACCTGAGTCTGGAGGCCCATTGGTTACTACTGATGATAAAATTGGACATGACTGGTGACTTCTACCTAAAGTACTGCTGTTCTTCCTGCTGTGAATGGAGACAGCAACCACACTCTGCCATCTCATGGAGTCTACATCTATCTGGATGTTCCTAGCCATCAGCCTCTCTCCCTGAGGTTCTACAATAAAGTTCTCAGCATTATATATACAGTCTGGACATCGCTTGATCAATCACCATAGAGGGTGGTAAGTGCTGATGGGCAAAGTGAGTGACATTATCCCTCCACAAGAAGATTACTGAGTTGCCGTAACTCATAGCAACTGACCCTAAAGTCAAGGTTTGCTGGTGTGCAGTGGATCCATCATAGAGGTTTCTTACAGAGGAAACACAGGGAGACCCGTTAGTTCTATTACTGCAGACCACCCTTTGGAGCCAGATATACTATTATCCTGCATTGAGTATCACTGACCAAAGAAAAGAGCTGACACTACAGTAAAATGAGAAAGCTGGTGAAATTAGCAGCAAACTCCATTAAAGTCTTTGAGTGACTAATCAATTCTGGCAATTTGTAGGACTAATAAGCAAGCTATTGTCAAACAGATTGGCATGACAAGCCAGACACTGCCATGGGGCCAAGTGCCAAATCACCAGGTAAAAAAGTAGACCATAGTACAGACAGATTAGTGCAAGGGACTATCATATGAGGATCAAAGCACAAGCACAAGTAAGGATCTTAAGACCAATGGACTGACCGGGGTAAAGACAATGATGTAGGCAATTGCAATAGCAAAGTGCCAGAAAAGACCAGGAGACGTACTCAGGGAATATCTCTGTGCACTGAACAGAATTTCTACAGTATATGCTGCCTAGTGAAGCAAAAGGCATGCCTGTGCATGCTTTGGTTTGTTTCAGCCAGCAGATGGCATGGGCACACTAGCAATAACTCCTCCCTGAGAAAAATGAGCTCTTACTAGTGTGAGTGATAACATGAACATATGAATTGTGGAGGAAATGGAAACTGCATGTTTACATTTTTATATAAAAGGGCTGTGAGTTGTGCCTGCAGTTCACAGTGAAAATAGTATATCTTTCAGTTATATACAGCATACAGTCCAGGCCTTGACCGATCACTGGTCCACAATGTTTCAGTAACATAGATGAGAATATGTGCTTCTTATAGTATTTTGTTTAGCTGAATTCAAATATAGCCGTGAAAAGTTTCCTTCACATACCATTTTTTTTGTTATTTACCCTAATATTTTCAAAATAAGTGAATTTCTTGAATATGAATGGAATTTTTTTTCTACAGGTTGGCAGCACTGGTAGTCTCCCATAACCTACAATTTTTGTACAGCAGTGACAGTGTGTTCTGAAGGTTAAGAACATAATTTCTTTGTTCTTTTTGATTAGTGCTCAAAATGGAGAAATCCCATCAGCATTCTTGTGTTAATTCACCTGATAAGTCCCTGTTCACACCTGGGCGTTTGGACACTGAAAGCTTAAGCGTCAAAACTCACAACACAAGAATTCCTATTCATTTCTATGGCCCCTGTTCACACCTGAGTGTTGAGCAGCAAGCTGTAAAAATGATGAATGCTGGAAAAGGTGCATGAGCTGCTTTCAGGCAGATCCAGCACGTTGTGCTCAATAGATTTCAATGGAAAACGCCCAAAAGACGCGCATTTTGGGGTTCGCACATCTTTTGTGAGTTGTTGTGCAAAAAGAATGCACGTTTTAAGGCGCATATACATTGTGTAAGACCAACTGCAAAGCACACTGGGAAACAAAATGGATGATACATGTCTGTCAAATTTTGATTCCGAGGCATTTATAAGGCTAATACAGGCACAACCATGCCTATATGACCTGCACAACCCCCTTTATAAAAACAGAGGAAGGAGGATGCAGGCTTGGGTGCAATTTGCTTGCCAGATTTGGCCAGAATAGGAATCTTTCCCTCCATCTCTGAACAGGCAAAGGTGAAACATGTGCATGCGACGCATCTAAAGTTTGTTGTGAAACTGTTGTAGCTTATGTTTCTGCTGGCTTGTGTGGCTATTGTAGGTCTGTGCAGCTACAGAGCTCCATGTGTTGTGGAACTAAAAATCCCAGTATTCAGCTACCTCTGGGTGTCATGCCTGTTTCTCTTCGGGTGTACAGACTTTTATGCATCACAGGACTTGTAGTTCCACAGCTGCAGAAAGGCTGTAGGAGTTATAGACAGGACTTCTTTTCATTGGACAACACTCAATACACCCATATGCAGAAACACATCCAAAACGTGCATCTATTTAGGGGAAACGCGCAAACCCGCGCGAGAAGTGCGTAAAAACATGCAAAGTAAAAACGTGCGTGAAACGCGCCGAAACGCTGACGCCTAGGTGTGAATGGGGACTACGTTTTGTTATGTGTGTGGACAGTTTATTAATCTTAATGTTAGTGATGCCAAGCTGAAGAAAGGAATTTTTGTCGGGCCTCAGATCAGGAAACTTTTGGATGATAAAAATCTTTCTTCTAAAGAACTCGCAACATGGACATATTTTGTAGTGAGTAGTGAAAAGTTTCCTTGGAATGCAAAAGAAAGAAAGCTACCAGCTTTTAGTTGAAAATCTTTTAAAAAGTTACAAGAATTTAGGATGCCGATTGCCACTGAAGATCCACTTCCTGCATTCCCACCTAGACTTATTTCCACAAAACTTGGGCAATGTAAGCGAGAGATTTCATCAAGACATTCGCATTATGGAAGAACGCTACCAAGGAAGGTGAGAACGTGATAGGATGGCAGATGAGCAAAGGTTATTGTTTATTGTTTTTACAGCATGCTTCTTTTTTGTATCCCTTATTATAACATTTATATTTTAAGTATTAAGAAATTCAACTGGAAAATTAGACAAGTGAATAGCATTGTAAGCAAAATCCCTTTGATTACAGAAACTACAAAAAAAATGCTCATTTAGCAGAATGGCCCACATGGGCAAGGTTCCCTAGCAGCTTTCATTTCAGTTTGTCTTTAGATTGTAATCGTTGTCAGTGTCTTAGGAATTGCAAAACTTCTAGTGCTTCACCATAGTAGTATTAACAGGTCAGTTGGCAATGTATTGAATACATATGGTACTCACTTTTTGCTTTCAAGTGCACATTAGTCTCCAGGATGATATAAAAAAGAAACTCCCATGCAAAAAATCCACCCATAACCTTGGCCATCCATAGGTTGGGGCTTGTGTCTATCAGATTCAACCCAAGGAAGATGGTGGCCACTATAAAAAAAAAGATACAGTTTAATAATAATTAGTACACAGTGTTTAATACACTAAATACTAAACCCTTATTCTTGTGGGACATTATTACACTCTCACCTGCAAGCACCTTTATAACCAGTGCATTGAGTCTGTGTCCCCAGTTGAAGATGAAGCGCCTGCAATAAGAACATAGATTAAACTATGTACAGGAATAGTACAGGTATCTGAAATGTGTTGAGGCTTTTAGGATGACATTGCTTGTAAAGATGACCTGAACTCTGGTAGTTGTGCCCAAAAAAGCAAGAAGAGGGCATAGGACCAGTATTGCCTGTGGTTTCCCTGCAGCTGATCTTTCTCCATTACTGATTTACCATGCTCTGCACTGTGTCCTAGTGATAAGGTGGCCATGTTGATAGAGGCAGGGCTATCCTTACTCATGTCAGCTTCCAGCAAAGAAAACAGTGAGCAGCTGCAGCACAGTAGCGCTATCATTTAATTTCACTTTGGATCTCCTGAGACTAGCAGTCAGAGGCAGCAGTGCCTGAAACCTTAAACTGCAGATATACAAAATATAAAGCTGTAGAGTACCTGGGCACGTCACATAACAGGAAGAGCAGTGCTATTTTTAGCATGAATCCAAGACAATAAGTAGGTGTTCGGGGTATTGCTTGGGCACAATAACTTTTTCCCCTAAAACATAGCAAATCTTCACTTTTTGAGTTCAGGTTCACAGTAGCTCAAAACTTAACTTAAACCATTTTCAATTTTGCTTTAGATAGAGTGGATAAGTGTTTTTTTTTTAATTGTCATTATTGTGTCCTTGTTGTAGACACACACATACACAATTATAATGGCCATCTCTTGTTTCTGAAACAAAATATGCATATAAATATTATTTCCCACATTGTTGATACACATATGCTTGTTGTTAAATTCTACCAGCAGGGACCTATTTAGATTCATAAAGTTGTTTTTAAGTATGTTGTACTAATGCATACCTGTATATGCTATGACATCTAAATTGCTTTAAATAATTGGGAAATATTTTACTTAGTAGAAACAAATTTGCAGTCTGCTCTTTAGTTAGGAAACATAGCTTCATGCTATACTCCTTACTTTAAGTCACTTTACATTTCTGGATAGAACACATGGGGGTTGATTTATGAGAGGCAAAATCAGCTGTTCACTTTGCAAGAGATCTTTCACTTAGCTTAGTGAATGAGGTAAAGCTCTTTAAAACACTATTTTGTGTGATGTACTCCTTCAGCTCAGCACATAAACTGATTCAGTGTCCCACAGTCACATCAATAATCAAATGTATGTGGGCTTTTGGGAAAGCTTTTGACACTGACAAGTTGTTGTTTTAATAAATCAGAGATTTAGCATTCAATTTTTACTTTGCATTAATGCACATTTTTTTTTCTTCCCTAAAGTTACATTTGATTATGTATGTATGTAAAATATTGTAATGGTGTTGATGCTATCAAAGGTGCCGATACACAGGATGGTTGTCAGAGCAGATTAGGTGAAATCTGTTAAAGACGTGGATGGCTTCACCCTGGGTCCCAGTGTAGATCTGCGGCTGCATTGTGTAACTGCCGAATTATGGGCAAAGAAAAAAAGACACAAGTCTATTGTGTCCAACTTGTTGTGGTCAGTCTGAATCGAAAATGAAATCTGTGGGGGTTGGTTTGCTAAAGGGATTTAAACTGTTCACTTTGGGAATTTTCCTTGGCTTAGTGAATGAGGTAAAGCTGTGTTGACTTCTATCATCCAATTACGTGCAAGCAAAAATATAGTTTTTTTTTTCTTTCCCTTGCATGCAATTGGGTATTCTTTAAAATGTCACTTTTTACCACATACATTGAGCTAAGGGAAATTCCTTGCAACATTAACAGCCTACTTGCCTATGGTAAACCATCCCCATGAAGTCAGGAGTCCTTGGCACTGCTTTTGTTAATATACTTTTATACTGGTGATAAATATTAAACAATGGCACCACTCAAACTAAAATATAGCATTATATTACATTAACCTCATGCCGACATAGAATGACCATTTATTAAATGACTCAACTGCTGCATATGATTGTTTTTTGTTTTTTTGGGGGATGTGTGCCGCCCATCCTGCTATTTGGGTGTAGCAGGGACTTATCCACAATAAGGGACCTCTGATCACTTTAACAAGGTCATAGCATTACATCATCCTTCTTCCTCAAGATATAGCTGGTCTGGCGTTCCGGTACATTAAAATACTACAGTCAACTGTAGTTTGACCAAAGCTTCTTGTTGTCCTGCCTATGAGTGGCCAAAACTTTGGGGAAAAGGTTGTTGCAGGTTTGAATATGGAGACTCTAGCTAATATTGGTTTCCTCTTAAAAGTTTCTACACAGAGATTGCTGACCTTGAGCCCCACCACCACCCCCCTCTCCTAAGCAAAGCCTGGCTAACAGCTTTGAGCGTCACCAATGGAACCTGTAACACTCTTTGGTACACATTTGGGATTCTCACAATACCCCAGCCTATTACAAGGCTATGAGCCAGCCAGTTTTTGTTTAGCAGAAAGCCATTGTTTTTAATTGGTCGGTGAGCAGATTGTTATATAGCTTATGTTATATTGATATGGTTTATGCTCAAATTTCATTGGCCAGGATGAAAACATGGAAACACGTACTGTAATTTCAACAATCTTTATATTGATTAAAGGGTTTCTTTTTCTTTAGGCTATTAGAAGGAAAACTCATCCACTATGTGTGCATTTATGCAGGGTAGAGGTCGTACTACTGATATCCCACAGGACGTTGGTCTACAGCACCTTTCCAAGTAGCTATATGGTAACAGCACACCAAGTTGCACCTACTTTTCACAATGTAAATCTTTCTTTAGAAATGCATTCCTTTTTTTGTGGGATCACTTTAGACAGATTACTGGCTAGTGCATGTCTGGTGTGATCCCCCACTAGTCAATATTGCATACAAGGTATAGTGATTTTCCACCTAATCCCCTAAGGTGAAAACCTATGTAAGTAACATATGTCCATGGGAATTTAATAGAATCAGTAGACAGAAAGATTTACTTTTCATGCTTCGGGTCCGGACGGAAGAGTGCAGCAATAGGTTGGAAAAATGACAGGATCATTACAATACACCCAAGGACAGGATGGGCACCTGCGTCCTAAAGAAAAGAAAAATTGAGTTATATCGTTGATTGCTATCATATCCTTATGATAATTAAGGAGGAAATTAAGGTTAAAAGGGACAAACTACCCCAAAATCATGTTGTAGTTGAAAACTGATAGGTTTTCCTTGTGTCTCATATGCCCTAGATTTTGAAAAACAGATCCCCTACTCTAATGCCTGATTTCACCTGGAAACTTTGTAAGTTCCCACCCACCTTTGTGTGTTCCTGCATCTTCACTTGCATTTTACATAATATAGGAACAAACAAGAAGGGGAACATCTCATAATGACCACAGCTGGTGTGCAGGCTACATTTGTATGTAGACAATGTCACTGATTACAGTGTCAATACAAGAACTGTCTTTGAAACCTGTGCATCTGGTGCTGTGCAGGAGGCTCTAGGCACTACAAGTATGTATTTTCGCAGGCACAGCTTAAAGAAGCACTCCAGGGGAAAAAATTTTATTAACCCTTGCAGTAAGGCTACCCCCTTAACTGCTCGTTTGTATAAAAAAAGGTTATACTCACCTTTGTGCTGCTTTTTCTTAGACTGGTCCTTCCAGCATCTTCCCCCCTCCTCTGCAGCAGGTTAAAGGCCCTGTAAATCATAACATTCTATACACAGTGTATAGACGTGAAGAGGCTGAGGAAGATTTCAATGCTGCAGCGTAGGAGGAGACAGGCAAGAGGAAACGCTGTGACAGCTGGCCAGATCGAAGCTTCGGGTGTTGAAATTTTAGCACCTAGACAAAAACGAGCACTTAACTACTGCAGTGCAAGGGTTAAGAGAAAGTTTCCCTGACGTTCTTCTTTACACTGGGTTCACACCTGGGCGTACGGATTATGCGAGTTTGCCGCGCGGTTTTACTGCGATTTGCGGTAAAAAAAATGTGCGACAAACGCGCGTTTACGAGGGCTATCCGGCTGTATCCTAATGGATACGCGTGGAAAATACGCCCCAAAGAAGTACAGGAGCTGTAGGGCGTTCCTGCGCGCTAAAATACGCCCAGGTGGGAACAATGCCCATAGGCAATTATTGGTTTTCACATGTTGAGCGTTTTACAGGGCGTAGGAACGCGCTGTAAAACGCCCAGGTGTGAACCAGGCCTAAATAAAAAAAGGTGACTGCTTCAGATTCTGTCTGCTCCAGTTTTGACAAATTCCCCTCTAACACTGCACGTAGCAGGATTATTCATTTACTGTTCCTACAATTATTAATGATTTGAGACCTTCCAGCAACCCTTAAAAATATTCATATACATAGCTAGGGATTATAGGGTGATAAGGAGATACATTTATCTGCATTTACAGAACATTATTAGTAGAATTGTTAGTAACTAAGGGTAACACTAAAATATTTTAGAACTGACCGTTCTCCAGTAAGAACTGTGACTGCTTGAGGGGGACCTCCACCCTCTTCTTTCAATTTTGATTTATTTATACTATTATCCTTTTTCAGAATCAGAACCTTTTTTTTTTTAGCACTTTCCTTTTTATTTTTTTAAGCCCGGCCTGTAAAATGACACAACTGTAGTACCCAGTCTCCTGGGCTACTCATGTTATGCATCCCAGGGAGCTGCAGAGATTTCTTTTTTTTTTTTTAAGGACAACGCAACGGACAAGGTAAAAGGGGACTGTAAAAAAATAGGAAAGAGATGTAAAGTTCCACTTTAGAACTGCTGTTAATCCATACAAAATGGCAGTAGACTTTCAAAATATCCCAAAACTAATACAGGTTCAAGTAAGAAAGTTGAAAATACATACACCACTCCAGCCAGCAACCTCAGCAAAGATCATGATAAATGCTATTATGGTAAGAATTACAGTCAATATCATCAGGAAGTAGTGAGTCTGCAAATGAAAAGAAAAATTGGAGAAAATCAGTATTATGATTCGGATTTGTAAATACCGTAAGGTGAACTTTTATATTTTCACACATGTAAACACAGTGGTACATTCATGATCTGCTTCATGAGCAGTCTAAAAAATGATAAGCAATTTTCACCTTGTAAAAACTTAACAGCTTAGGTTAGCCCTCCACTTTTCATTATTTGTTGACACATGCAGAGGAAGGACAGATGTGTTTGAAGTGCTATATATGATCGCGAGCAATATATGGTGGCAATTTCTGCAAACATTAGCAGAAAAGTTACTTCTCCAAGTCACTTTAGGTGAAAAGATTAACAGATTTCTAACAGCTTTTGAATATCAGTCTTGTTCAATAAATGCTCTATCCTTTAAATGGATGGAGAAATTAGTATGGCTACTGGAAAATAGGACAGCAAAAGGCTTATACAGTAGAGCTACAGGCCCCCATTGGAATAGAGATTCAAGTTATATTGGATTCAGTCTTATATCCTTTACTGGGTAACAGGTGGAACTTTACCAATGTATACCCATAAAATGTTTAGGGCCCACAACTCCTATTTAGAATGGGATACGCCAATTTTGCGAGCAACATGCTACTAACATTTTCTGAAAGAACAGTGACATTTCCAGGCTTATAAAAGTGCTGCTAGTTCTGGGAAAGAGATCATCTCTGCATCATCTCTAATGAGGAGCTTTCTTCAGAACTAGCACGGCTTCCACGAGTCAAGTAGTAGAAGCCTCCAGCTGTGGGTGAAGTCATAGGTGTGCAAGATAACATCTACCCTTACAGGTTCCTTTAAAGAGGGCTGTCAAGAGTTGTATTTATTAATTCCACTAACCTCGCTGTCCTCTTCATGTCCAATTTGAAATTAACTGTTTAATTATCACTTGATTATTTTAGCAGATTTTCAAAATTTTGAAAAGGTTAAAGAGCTTAAGTTAGAAAATTTTTTTCAAAGAAGCTTATAGGATTAATGTGTTTGTACAGCTAAACCTTTTGAGAATACGGACAACAGAGTCTTGAGGACTTAACAGAGGTAAGCCTTGTAATCTAGAAGGAAGATTTCTAATAAAGACACATTGAAAGGAATTTATCAAAACTGGAGCAGACAAAATCTGGAGCAACTGTGCATGGCAACCAATTAGCTTCTTATTTTTTTTATTTTAAAATCCTAACTAAACAAACTGAAGAGATAAGCTGATCCAGATTTTGTCTGCTCCAGTTTTGATACATTTCCCCCATTCAATTCAACAATAATTCTGCAAAAATCCAGTAATGTATACAATTGGTCAGCCATAACATTATGACCTAATCTAACAACATATATCATCAAATTGGAGCTTTTTAGGTGCCAGAAACATTTTACAAACTCATGTCTGAATAAAATAATATTTTATTAATCCATATTAAAACATTTTCTTATAAACAATAGTGCGTCTGTCCACCTTGTTACATTAGTCATATTACATAATATAGGTTCCATACACATTAGATATTGTAAGTAGCAGACAATAATACAATCCTCTAAATTAGCTTGACAATAAGGCTCGACTCGTTTCGCGAAATTGCTTCTTTTGCAGTACTCAAGTAGGGGCTTTCCGGGGAGATCAAAGCAAAGCCAAATGAGTTACCACCTGGCTGGACTTCCCCCCGTATCATATCTGACCGGCCATCCAGACGGAGCGGAAGGCGAGTGCCTTATCCACCACCAGGACTGACCCCGTACAACTTGGCAGTAGGATATCCATGGGGAAAATATCCATGCGGGTGCTTGAGAAGGATTGGGGGAGGAGTAATTAACATTTGGCTGATTAAGCTACCTTGGCCAGTGACAAGTTTGGATTATCGGTCCATCTGAAAAATAATTTATATGTGATATGGGGTGAAGTCCAGCCAGGTGGTAACTCGTTTGGCTTTTGCTTTGATCTCCCTGGAAAGACCCTACTTGGGTTGTGCGTGCATCTTCTCGATTTTTTCCCCCGCCCCCTCCCTCCCACTATTGCTTGCAGGTGCCGGATGCTACAGTACCTAATGTGTATGGAACCTATATTATGCAATATGACTGTAATGTAACAAGGTGGACAGACGCACTATTGTTTTTAGGAAAATGTTTTAATATGGATTAATAAAATATTATTTTATTCAGACAGGAGTTTGTAAAAGGTTTTTGATGCAATATGTTGTTATATTGTATTTGTAAGGGGTGTGGTGCCTCACTTTTACCTTTTCACCCCTCATCCAAAATAGACCTCTGCTTTATACATAACATTATGACCACCCACACAGATGTTCGATTGGATTAAGATCTGGAAAATACGGAGGCCAAGACAACACCTCAAACTCGTTGTGTTCCTCAAACCATTCTTGAACCATTTTTGCAGTGTGGCAGGGAACATTATCCTGCTGAAATAGGCCACTGTCATCAGGGAATACTGTTTCCATGAAATAGTGTACTTGGTCAACAACAATGTTTAGGAAGTTGGTATATGTCAAAGTAACATCCACATGAATGGCAGGGCCCACGTTTTCCCATCTGAACATTGCCAAAGCATCACACTGCCTCCGCCAGCTTGCCTTCCTCCCATAGTGCATCCTGGTGTCATCTCTTCCCCAGGAAAGCAACACACAGGCACCCAGCCATCCACATGATGTTAGAGAAAATGTGATTTATCAGACCAGGCCACCTTCTTCCATTTTTCCATGGTCCAGTTTTGAGGCTCACGGGCACTTTTGGCGTTGGACACAGGTCAGCATGGGCACCCTAATCAGTCTGCAGCTATGCAGCCCCATACGCAACAAACTGCGATACAATGTGTGTTCAGACACCTTCCCATCAGAAACAGCAATTTAAGCTATAGCAGCTCCTCTATTGGATTAGACTACACAGGCCAGCCTTCACTTCCCATGTGGTTTTCCTTATTTTGGACCACTTTTGGTAGTTTCTGACCATTGCAGACCAGGAACATCCCACAAGCACTGCAGTTTTGGAGTTGCTCTGACCCAGTCGTCTAGCCATCACAATTTGGCCCTTGTCAAAGTCACTCAAATCCCTTCGCTTGCCCATTTTTTCAGCTTCCAACACATCAACTTCAGGGACAAAATGTTCACTTGCTGCCTAATATATCCCACCCCCTTCCAGGTGCCATTGTAATGAGATAATCAATGTTATTCACTTCACCTCTCAGTTGTCATAATGTCATACATACATACACAATTCAGTGTATTAAAACAATTCAGGGCTCTCAGTCTCATAGCTACCTGGAACCATATGGCTTTCCCAAGGAATGGCTTGCCAGCTGCACTCTTCATATAGCGAGCCATGACCATCCCAATACTGCCAGTAGTCATCCAGGCAATGAGCATTAGTGCACCTGAGAATCATGAGAGATTCTGTGAGATGAAATACTCTAAAACCATTTTATAACTGATATGTGCCCTCAAACAATCAACCAACATACAATTTTACCTTGTGTGCTTTGAATATTTAGTCTTATGACAATATTCTGTGAGTAAATGTAATTGTATGCGTGTTTGTGATTAATATACTTAAAAAATATTGACTTTTGTAATAATTAAACAATTTAAAATACAATATGACCACCCACCTAATATTGAGTAGGTGCCCCTTTATTGCAAAAACAGTCCTGCCAAAACAGGCATGTACTCCACTAGACCTCTAAAGGTATGCTGTGTTATATGGGACCAAGCTGTCAGAAGCAGATCTTTTATGTCCTGTAAGTTGTGAGGTGGGGCTGCCATGGATTGGCTTATTTTTTCAGCACATCCCACAGCCACTCAATTAGATTGAGACCTAGGGAATATGGAGGTCAAGTCAACACTTTAAACTTGATGTTTTGTTCCTCAAACCATTTTTGCAGTGTAGCAGGGCGCGTTATCCTGCTGAAAGAGGCCTCTTCCATCAGAGAATACCATTTCCATGAAGGGGTGTACTTGGTCAGCAACAATCTTTGGTAGATGATTTGTGTCAAAGTAACATCCACATTAATGGCACCCATTTTGAACGCAGGGTTTCCCAGATAAACATTTCTCACTTATTACACTGCCTCCGCTGGCTTGCCTTCTTCCCATAGTGCATCCTGGTTCCATCTCTTTACCGAGTAGGCAACACACTCACCCGCCATCCACATGATGTAAAAGAAAACATGATTCATCAGATTAAGCCACCTTCTTCCATTGTTCCAAGATCCAATTCTGATGCTCACATGCCTATTGTAGGCACTCTTGGTAGTGGACACGGATCAGCATGGGCACCCTGATCTGTCTGCGGCTATGCAGCCCCATAAATAACAACCTGACATGCACTGTGTGATGGTAATGAGATCTGGGCACCCCAATACTAATTAGAAAGCACCTTGTCCCCTTCCTGGAAATAAGATACTTATGGATATGATTAAATGAAATGCTGACCCGACATCCATGTGTTTAAAGATTTAAAGATCTCCGAAAGAGACTTCACATTCCACAGCTTATACAGCCAGGCTGCTAAAGGTCTTTTATAGGTATAATAAAACCCTAATCCAACAACCAACTAGCAGATCACCAATTAGCACTAGATTGCTAAGCTAATCTCCTAAAAAGTGACTGCACTGACAACAGCAACTGACTCAGTGTACATCTAACAATAACCTTAGCTTCCAAATGATACTCAATATTCATAACTTGAGACCTGGGGGCGATACATTATTAATATCTGTGTCTTTTAAAAAGGAATTTGGACATTCCAGACACAGATTAGAAGGTCCAGAGCGCTAGAAACCCACATTAACCCTTCTGAGCCAGACATACCTCACAGGGTGGTCAAATTTGGTATCTCTACAAAGGTAATTTCATTCAGTCAAAGTACCGCAGCGCTGAATACTGAAAAATGGCCTGGCCAGGAAGGGGGTCTAAACACCTGGTCTTGAAGTGGTTAACAACATGAAAAGAACCTTTGCAAGCCTTACTTTGAGAAAGAGCCCCATCCAGATTCAGCTTTAGTTGCAATGAAATAGACTCTTCTAGAACAAAACCTAGGACTTTGTTAAGTACCTTAATTTTTATTCCCTTTTTATTTTATTTTATTGTTGTCATACTTCTCTCTTTTTGTGACATCTTTTTATGCACATTTTTCCTGCACCATTTCTTTAATTAAATACAATCTTTAATCCTTGTCTCTGTGAAGAGCACTACCATATTGTAAAACCTGTTATATCCCTGTCTGAAGGGACAGTGGGCATATCAGGCATTGTTTAAAGTTTTGAATTGTTACAGCATTTGATGGGCATGGTGCATGTTACCATTGAAACATGTCGTGGCGCCTATTGTTTATGTGTGTTAACGGTTAACTAACCCCAGTGATGATCGCTCTTGGTCTGCTGGCTTTAGCTTGTTGTCCTGCAAGCTAGAAAATCTCTGTGCAGGGTGAGGCTGAGAGTTGTATCGCCACGTCTTTGTGAAGGCTTGGTAGGATCAGAACTGCTTAGTCACGTGTTGCTGACCTACAGTGATTCCGGACCGGCTGCTCGGTCATACATTGTATGTTCAGACACCTTTCTATGGGAACCAGCATGAACTTTTTCAGCAATTTGCACTATAGTAGCTCTTCTTATGGATTGGGCTACATGTGCCAGCCTTCACTCCCCACATACTGTACATCAATGAGCCTTGGCCACCCATGACACTGTTGCCGGTTCAACAGTGTTCCTTCCTTGGACCACTTTTGGTAGGTTCTGACCACTGCAGACCTGGAACATCCCACAAGAGCTGCAGTTTTTGGAGTTGCTCTGAACCAGTCATCTTACCATCACAATTTGGCCCTTGTCGAAGTTGCTCAACTCCTTACGCTTGCCCATTTTTTCTGCTTCCAACACAAACTTCAGGGACAAAATGTTCACTTGCTGCCTAATATATCACACCAACTTCTACTATATATATATTTATATATATATATATACATACATATATATATATATACATATATATATATATATATATATACATATACACATATACACAGACACAGACACACACATATATACACATGCATATATACACACACATACATACATAGTATATCTGCAAATTTAATACATAAAATGAATTCAGTGACAAGTGAACTCTCACCATGACCGAGAACTAAAGAACTTGTTCCACTCTGTGCGCTGGATGCAGTTGTACTTGACAGGTCAACATTAGAGCTGGATATTAGAGTTTTAGTATGCTTCAGAATTTGTCCTGTTTACAGGGGATTATAATTTATAATGTTTATTAGTTACAAAAATGAATACAATTCCGAGATTTTTCAGGATGGTAAGTTTTTTTTTTAGCATTACATATGCTCTCGGTGTCCTGATGAGGGAGATTTTCCCTCACTTTCTGTTATGATACATACCAAATAAACCAAAAGTGAAGGTAAATCTCCCACAGACAGCAATAAAAAAAAGTGACACGGCGAGCAAGTCTTCTCCCCTCTATCCAAAACTTTCAAAACTATGCAAATTGTATGGCTAGTTGGAATGATTGAATCAGGTTAATTAGCAATTCTTTTTTTTTGTCTCTTACAACCACGTGCATGGAGGCATATGTGATCTTCAGAGTTGCCAGTTTTAGGAATCCAGGCAATCCCAATGTATTTAATAGTTCTCTGCAGATTTGAGAAATCTTCTGTGTTTGTATTGAAAAGAATCAAAGCATGCAGATTTGCCTGATTTTTAAGCTCAGAACTAGTGGTAAATGTTCTGTTTTAAAAAGCTATTACTATATAACAAATGGATTGAGCTCAGTTTGCTGTAGACCTTGATGGTCTTAGATCCGTGTACTGAACCTACAGCCGTGCCAAAGCAATAGCACAGAGGAGATGCATAAATCAAATTGATTTTACATTGTTTGTACTTGAGATCATGTGTTATATACTTACCACTAGTATCTAACGGCCCACGGACCAGGAAAACATAATAGTTTGTATTGGTGCTGGATCGCTGCTGAGTAGAAATGGCACTCTGAGTAATAAAGGAACATTTCAATATACCATTTGTATAGGATGCAACAATAGACCCCGCTGTATTCTGAAGCAAAACAAAACAAAAAATATTAAAATAAAAGGTTAGCACTTTCAGACACATTTCAAAGCCTTTTCAGAGAACACTTACTGTGAGGTTTGTTAGAGGTGCAACTTTTCCTGTGTTATACCCATGCTGTACTAGAATGCTTCCCGATGAATTTTGTGTACAGATATAAATGTCATCATTACCCTGGAAGAGAAAAGAGATTCATATGAAGTGTGTGATATGTGAAATATGCTCTTTGCTGTGTTATGTACAGTGGAGAAATTGAAGAGAGCTGGACTGCTTGGTGTCTTGTGGTTTATGATGAATGATATGTGGAGATTGTTAGGCAGCTCTTTGGTCCCATGGATCCTTTTTGGGGCAATTCTTATAAAATTGTGGAATGCAGTTAGAAAATAAAAGGTCCCAAATAGGCTTTATTTGTTTTCAGCAGAATGTGCCATCACGTTTTGGGGCTACATGGATTCCCTTCATCACGGCTGGAATAATAAAGAATTAGAGTCTGGACTGAGCTGAGGGAATCACTAAAACAAATAACTTCTGAGAACTATGTATATTGTCTGTTCCAATTCCTGAAATCCGCTGTGCTGGTGAGTCACAGGTTTTACACCAAAAGCAACCTGTACATGTGTATTGGCTCTTTATATGGGGGAACGCCATGCACTTTACCTATGTGGACTTGTTCCTGCAGAAGGCAGGTAAACTGTTTCCTAGCTGAAAAGGGACCTCAGGGATAGGTGACAATGAGCACATATTCACTTGTGACATCACAGTTTTCTTGATTAGGGGCATCCCTACATTATTCACCACCTGAGGCAGGGGTCGGTTTGTGGGAGGTGTTGATGAACAGTGCAGGGGGCAGATAGTGATGACGAATGTTACTGGGGGGGCTGAGGCTGCTACTTCTGGGTCGGGCTCTGTTTGGCATCTCACTCAGCTTACTAATAACACTGGTTGCCAGGAGCTGGGGGGGAAACCAGCCACAGCATCCCACTCAGCTCATGGCAACCAGTGACATCAGTTAGCAAGGGCAGGATGCTGGCCAGAGAGAGTCACAGGTTGCTAAGAGCCCTTAGCAACCTGGGACACTCTGGCCAGAAAGGGGGTGGCAAGCACGTGACCCAATGAGATGCCGACTGAGGCAACCACCTCAGGCTGCCTCATTATAGGGACAACTCTGTTCTTGATATTTAGTTTAAAAAAAAAATCACTGGTTCTGTACATTTGTAGCAATATAGGTTAGTAAATACTATATATTTGAGAGCTTTTCTTACCATGCTTGTATCATCTGAGAACCCAATAGCCACATATCCCGGAGTTGAGCCACTCATTTCAAACACATAGCCAGTATCATCACTGGAGGGAGATGAAGACATGAACAAACAACTGCTGTTATCTGGACTGCAGCTCACCGGATCACTCAAGCAAAACTTCTGAGTACCACAGGTGACATTTGAGATCTGTGACTTTAGGAATAAGGAACAGGGAGACACACTTTACTATGAGACAAAACAAATAATAAAGTTCCTTACATTAATGATTTCTCAATATTTTTTAATTTATATAAAACGATGCGGATTATCCCCAGTGACCTATAGACTGTTTCTCCTTCAGCACATAATGGTATTTTTATTCTACAACTACATGTATGGTGTCTGAACATATACTTATTATACTGTGTATGTAGAAAATTGGTACCAACATACAATCCAGAAAAAAAACATTCCTCAGTGCAGTAGTACAGTATCAGTCCAGTAGGCACTCAAGAGGTCTTCAAACCGTGCTACATGCGTAAAGTGTTAAAGTGGTATGATAAAACCTATATATATATACACACACACACACACACACACACACACACACGTAACTTCCCAATAAAACTTTACAAGGGTTCTAATTCATCCCTACTCTACCCAAAAAAAAAAGTTTGGCTATACATAAACTTCAAATTCTAGTCCCATAGAAGCACAATCTTTGCTACACCATACTAGTTGATTGTAAAAAGGATGATTAAAACACATATTTAGTGCAAATTGTTTTGTCATTGGCATGCACCTGGTGATGTCATGGGTAGGGAAAGGATGACAATCACATTTCTTATACTTAATAGTAGGGTACCCTTTATGGCTGAGATATAGCCAAGACAAGCCCTGAGAAGATGTTACTGTCAGCAAAGTTTTGTGTAAGTGGCCTAACCCCCGTCTGCCCCATCTCCTTGGACCACAACCTATATTGGCTTTGCAAAAGTCTAGGTGTCCCTACACCTTAACCATCATGGACCGTAGCCTGTATTGGCTAAGCATAAATCCTTCATCGGTCCACTGAGATAACTATAAATAGGACTGCCCATAAAATCAGTATGTGCTGTTGCTTCCTGTTTTCCCAGCAAAAGCAATTAATTAAGTTATAACTGATCAGATCTGATAAAACTTACTGCTGAAATGATGTCACTCTTAACGTTAGTCCAGAAGGTATTATAACTACTTAATATAGTTGCTCTGAAAACAAAAAGAGAAAATATGATTTGAGAGTTATGCTCTGTATAATGCCTAGAAGTACATTGTGACCAATCATGCCATAGGTTTTTTTTTTTCTTTTGGTTGTTGCTCAGGCTGAAATATGGTCAATGAACAAAGTAAATCTAACCAAGATACTAGTATTGGTAGAGTAAGAGTTTAGGATGACTCCAATAATCTCCAGGTAAATACAATGTGTACATTTTCCTTTAAAAGCAATATCTGATGTGATTGTCGCATGTTGTCTTTATATTTTGGGGGAAAGCAAGGACCTAACCTATTGTTTCTAAAACATCAGAAAATTCCTCCGTGTGTGGCTAGCATTGCAACCTCTATTTATTCAACACCTGTATACCCAAAAAAGACAAAACATTTCAGCCATTCATGTGACCAAATGTTTGCCCTAGAAGTGTACATACTGCTTTCATAGATATTTACACTGTCACTTCAGCCACATCTTTGGTTTACATAAGCCCTAACCAGACATTAGAGAAAGAGCGCTTTACACCTCTGCAAATCAAAGACTGGTGATACCGTTATTTTTCCAGTGACGCAAATGATACCAGGTTTCTCTAAAGGTTAGAAGGTTGTCTAATAATGCAAAAGGAGTGTGAGGTTCCTGGCCTGTTTGGCCTTTTTAGCAAACACTGTAATGTAGTAAGTGATTACATTCAATCTGTTTGTGCATAATCAGAAAATGTTGTTTTAAGCAGACGTGTGTCAATGCATTTTTTATAGAATAATGAACCAATGTTTCTTACTGAATAAAAAGAATATTCAAGATAACACAAACGATAGTAGCTAAAGGCAAATTAGCTGGAGTGGAAACTCTGGTCTCAACTTTTAGTGAACCAGTATTTAATGCCAACATTAAACAAAGGTGGAAAATAGAAAAATGACCATGCTTTTATTTTTCACCATGGTGCATTCTATAAAGGCATTTCCCAAAAAAGGTGATTGTCCCATAGTTCAGGCTCAATGCCAGACTCCCCTTATACTTACGTGAAGCGCACAGGTCCTGCTCCCTGGGGAGCCGTCCATATAGCCGTGACAGACTGTTTTAAGTTATCGTTGGTGTGGCTGACAGCTGTGTTCTGGATGGGAAAAAATAAAAAGGGGGTTTAAAGTATATGTAAACCCTAACTACAAGTTTCTCTTAATTACTCCCTTTTGGCATTTTTTTATATACAATTGAAGCATTTTGATATATAATTTCTAAAAATGTAAAAAAAAATCTGTTAAACCTGCCAGAAATGTGGTGCTGTCCTGCCATGTTATTTGAAACAATGTTATCGGAAAGTGTGTTAGTACTACGGAAAACCTCCTCCTCTTTGAAAGGGAGAATGGGGTGTTCTGTAGTCCTTACACACTTAGTGTCTTAGTGTGACAATGCTTCTGTTTCATAGATACAGTAGTGTGAGTACATGACATGCTTCCTGGGCTTCAGGTGGTGTCAATCACTACTGCTGGGTCCAATGTGACGCACACAACTTTAATAAAGCCAATTGTATTTAGATATGAAAACGTCCACCACTTCTGCACACTAAGGGGTCTATTCACAAAGCTGCCGGCTAGCTTCGGCCCCAGGACCCCTTCGGTTCAGTAGAATCGAAGGGATGCTGTACGGGCTATTCACTATAGCCGGTACAGCTCCCGAACGTGGTCGAGCCGAACGCATATGCCTCGGCTCGGCTGAACCGCGCTGAAAGCCGAAGCTGGCCAAGCAGCCGGCCATTGGCCGGCCGACAGCCTGCTTCTGATGGCTGGGCGGAGCCAGCCGTGATCTTACGTCTGGCTATGGCCACTTGGAGAGATCAGCGTTCCTGGTTACCTGCTAACCAGGGACACTGATCTCCAAACAGCAAACTCTCCCTGGTGCTCCGGGAGTCTCCCGCTCCCGGCCACCAAGGAGAGAAACACTGCTGTTTCTTTTTTTATTATTATTCTGACATTATTATTCTGACGGAGCCGTGTCAGAATAGAAAAGAAAATTACATTTGGCCCATTGGAATGTATTGCTAGATTCGTATTGGCTATTTCAATTTGACACAACTCATGTCAGAATAAAGAAAAAAAAAGAAAAATCAGTGTTTCTCTTCTCGGCGGCCGGGAGCGTGAGACTCCCAGAACGCCCGGGAGATTTTTTTTTTTTAAACTATTTTTCTGTTCTGCTCGGTCCCTCTGAGGGACTGAGCAGAACAGCCGAGCCGAATGCCGCTCAGCGGCATTTGGCTATTCACTCACTGCTGTTCGGCATCTATAAGAATAGGCAGAACAGCAGTGAGTAGCCTGCCGGAGGTTCAGCTTAGCCGATCCAGATGTTGGACAGGCTGAGTCGAATTCCTTCTGCACTTCGGGTCAGCCGAACATGCCGAGCATGTTCGGCCGACCCGAAGCAATGTGAAGCAAGCCGATGTACGGCTGATTTCAGCCGATATACGGCTGAAATCAGCCATACAAGCCTGGAGTGAATAGCCGAACAGCGTTCGGTTCACTTCACTTCGGGTCGGTTATTCACTCGGCTGCCTACGGCAGCTTAGTGAATAGACCCCATAGTGTGTACAGTCTAAAAAACACAATTCATTAAATAAAAACAGGTACTCACATTGTAGCAGATAGAAACCAGCATAAATTGAGCATCGGGTGAACCCCGCAATGCAAAAGTGGATAAACGATAGGATTCCCGTCCGTCCGGCTGAGCTGAGATGGTGACCTCAGCCCTATGTACGTTACTTCCAGGGTGACTTTGTCATGAGTCTTGGTGTTCGGCTCACTTCAGGTCGGTCATTCACTCGGCTGCCTACGGCAGCTTAGTGAATAGACCCCTAAATCTCACCTAGGATGCAAGAACTGCAGCTAACAGTGTGGTGTAGATTGTGCGGCCCTCTATACATGTTTTTAGTGAGTAGAATTAACTTGCTGGGTTCCTTACTGTATTAGGTAATAGTGTGTACTGTATTATTCACTTATGCAGCAGAAGAAGTATGGAAGAGGGGATTCAGAGGAGTGTTCTATGCCGTGCAGTGTAATCTGGACAGCAAACACATGTAACACAAAGCACCTTGTTTACTGTCTTTTACAGTTCACATTTAGGCAAACCTGCGTACAGTATTCTAGTTTAGATAAGCATGATGTCACTTCATATAATTAGGAAAAAAAGTGATTATTATTTGTCTACTTTTCTTTAATCTACAATTTTCTCTTTAGAGTTCTTACAAATATCAAAATGTATTAAACTAAGGGAGGTCTGCTGTTACTATTATTTTACAGGAAACTCAAATCTCCTGTTATAGGGTGGAACAAACCTAGAAGATAATCAGGCTCTGCTGCATGCACATGTGCCAACAGGGAACATGGCATTCATTGTTGGCAGCACTAAGGAAGTCAGACCGCTGCTCTCACACATAAAATAACAGCTTGATCTTCTGCAGTCAAACACACTCAACTGAACACTGCTCTTGATTCCTGAGCAACCCTTTTAAATGGAGCAGTGTTCAGAGGAGCATGACAGAAAAGGTGCCCATACACCTTACGACCATCACAAGACTTTTGTCTTGCGATGGTCGTAAGCTTATTAAAAGCTCGTACGATCTGCCCATCTTGGACAGGCAGATCGTACTTGCGATCATCGAAAGCCCACCCCGCTGAGGGGCGGGCTTTCGATGACCGCAATGCTGAACGTGGGCACACCAGCCTGTTCCGCAGTTGTCGAACGAGCAGGCTAGAAACCCGCCAACAATCGTACGATTCTCGGCGGGTTTTCGATCATGCTGGTCGACAAAAGATGTGCGACCGTACAGTAAAAACGGTCGGACGCCTTCCATACACCTTGCTATTATCGTACGATCGAGGAATTTCCCGCGGTTATCGTACGATAATCGCAAGGTGTATGGGCACCTTAAGCTGGGATGCTGCTTGTGAGTGATTAGTCTGACTCTCCAAGTGTTGCCAGCACAGAGTTTTTAAACCCTTGCTGGAGAACTAAACTGTTAAAAAGAGGTATATTTATTATTGTATGTGCAGCATGACTAAACTACAGTAATGGATTAAAGTGTTCACTTGGGCTTTTATATAAGAACAGTGCACTTATAAATAATAGGGAAACATAAACTTACCGCTCCTTCGCTGCAAGTTAGTGTTTGAGCATTACTACCTGTAGTGCTGAATGTTCCAGTTATCCAATTTCCTCCCAATGATCGAGCCTCTAAAAGGAACCCTTTAAAACCATTTGAAGATCCATTGTTTTTTATGGTTACTAAAAGAAATAAGGTTAAACGTTTAGTGACCATCAGGAGATAAGTACAAACGTTAACAGGAAAAAACTCACAAAAGATTGTTACTGTTCACTAAACTACACCAAAGACTGTGGGGTTGATTTACTAAAGGCATAAAGGCTATTCAGGTAGTAATATTCACTTTGCAAAACGCATGTTATAAAGTAAATGTTAACAAATAGAGGAGACACGTGCTCAAGTTAAGATTGAAATAAAAATTTAAAAAAGTGCTTTTGCTACACAGGATTGGGTAGTTTAAGTGAACACTGCTTCACCATATTTACCAACATTCATGTGAACATTCACTGTGCTAAGGTAACAGCCTCTACTCATTTGGTAAATCTGGTTAGGGTTGCACAGATACCAAGTACAGTACTCGGTACAAGTACGAGTACATGTACCGATACTTTTGAGCTCCAAGACTAGACTAGAGAAAAATTCAAAAATTTGGAGGCAGCTGCCATTTGTAAGGAGCACACGGAGCTCCTGGGATTTGTACATCTCCGTTTTAATGTACGATTTTGTTTTTATAAATATAAATAAAGGGATGCACAGATACCAGTTTTGCGAGTACGAGTACTGGTACTTGCCGAGTACTTACAAGTACGAGTACTGATACATTTTTGTTTATTGTCATGTGACAGTTTTTCTAAAACCATACAGACTAATGATTTCAGGACTGTGGTGGAGTGCCAAAGCCCGGTCCCAGCTGCAACCCTGGTAGTTCTCATGAAAATGCCAAGTATCTGCACTGGTACTCAAAGTATCTGTGCATCCCTAAATCTGGTAATACAAAACAAAAATCAGATCAGATGGCTCACTACACAAACATCTAAGCAAAAACATCTGCTACTGAAGCATGCCCAAATGAAATGGGATACAACTGATGCTACATTTTGTAAATGTATAAAAGTAAATTCCACAGAGCACCAATGGTAAGGATACAATTTCTAATCATGCTCTTTTAGTAGCAGCCTTGCTGATAAAGCTGATAATGAAAAAAAAATATATATACACACACATACATATACTGAGTGGCCAGATTATTATGACCACCCGACGTTTGTAGGCAAATTAGCTATAATTTGGCGCTGAAGTTGCTAGAGGGCCAGACCATTATAAATAGGGAAGCAGGTTGTTTACCACGACAGTAGAAGTGATTTTTTTTCTGAAGATATGGGTAAACAATGCGATTTAACAGCCTTTGAACGTGGGATGATTGTTGGCGCTCGCGCCATGGAGCGAGTATCAGCAAAACAGCAGAATTCGTTAAATGTTCAAGAGCAGCTCTTGTTAAAGTGTTTAAAGACTGGACTGTCAGCCGAAAATCTGGGTCTGAACGTGCGAATTGTGGCCGTCAGTGACTAGTCAATGTTAGGGCAGAACGGAGAGTGGCAAGACTGGTACAAGACAACAGAAGGGCAACAGTGCAGTGTCAGATTCCTCGCATCACCTTTCAACATCTTGTGGAATCACGAGGCGGCCCAACGAAGTCATCTCGTGGAGTCATCTCGTGGGCCAACGAAGTACTGATGGTCATAAAATAATCTGTATATACACACACACACTGCTCAAAAAAATGGAAGGAACACTTTTTAATCAGAGTATAGCATCAAGTCAATTGAACTCAGGGGCTATTGATCAGGTCAGGTAAGTAGCAGAGGGGGTTGTTAATCGGTTTCAGCTGCTTTGGTGTTAATGAAATTAACAACAGCTACACTAGACGGGCAACAATGAGACGACCTCCAAACAGGAATGGTTTTACAGGTGGAGGCCACTGACATTTTTTCCCCTACTCCATTTTTTCTGACTATGTCTTGCAGGTGTTTTTTCGTTGGTAGATCTCAATGAGCTCGTCATTTGAAAAGTAGATCTCCAGACGAAAAATAGTGGGCGCCCCTGCTATAGAGGTTGCACAGGCATGTCAACTCCTCCATGATGGCACATCAATACGTACCATTGCCAGAAGGTTTGCTGTGTCTCCCACCACAGTCTCAAGAGCATGGGGGAGATTCCAGGACACAGGCAGTTACTCGAGGAGAGCTGGACAGGGCCGTAGAAGGTCCTTAACCTATCAGCAGGACCGGTATATGCTCCTTTGTGCAAGGAGGAACAGGATGAACACTGACAGAGACCTACAAAATGACCTCCAGCAGGCCACTGGTGTGAACGTCTCATACCAAACAATCAGAAACAGACTTCATGAGGGTGGCCTGAGGGCCCAACAATGTTCTCTAGTGGGCCCTGTGCTCACTGCCCGGCACTGTGGAGGTCGATTGGCATTTGCTATTGAACACGAGAATTGGCAGGTCCGCCACTGGCGCCCTGTGCTTTTCACAGATGAGAGCAGAACCTGTGACAGAAGTGAAAGGGTCTGGAGAAGTCGTGGAGAACGTTATGCTGCCTGTAAAATCGTTTAGCATGACCGGTTTGGTGGTGGGTCAGTGATGGTCTGGGGAGGCATATCCATGGAGGGACGCACCGACCTCTACATGCTAGACAATGGCACCCTGACTCCCATTAGGTATCAGGATGAAATCCTTGGACCCATTGTCAAACCCTATGCTGGTGCAGTGGGTCCTAGGTTCCTCCTGGTGCACTACAATGCCCGGGCTCATGTGGCGAGAGTATGCAGCCAGTTCCTGGAGGATGAAGGAATTGATATAATTGAATGGCCCCCACGCTCGCCTGACCTGAATCCAATAGAACACCTCTGGGACATTATGTCTCAGTCCATCCGACGCCGCCAGGTTGCACCTCAGTCTGTTCAGGAGCTCAGTGATGCCCTGGTCCAGATCTGGGAGGAGATACCCCAGGACACCATCCGTCGTCTCATTAGGAGCATGCCCCGACGTTGTCAGGCATCCATACAAGCATGTGGGGGCCATACAATTGAGTTACTGCAATGAAATTTCAGCACTATGGACTAGCCTGCTCCATCATTTGTTTATATATATATATATATACACACACACACACACAGATTATGCTCACCTGAACCCCAACCACACCTGGCTGCTAGACCAGTCCCTGCACCCTCAGGCTCCAGCTGTCTAAGCCCCAATGACTTCATGTCTAATACAGTCCATTCACCTGCAGTAGACGTGAGGGTGCTGGGGGACATACCACAGCTGGAGTGAAGGGGGAAAGAGGTGAACACTCAACATCACAGACCAAGGATCAGATGAGTATTTCTTCTGAATGCTGGCCCCTAGAGAAAAATTAGCAGTTAACCCTTGAAGCGTGGGGGTAGCCCCACTGCAAGGGTTCACTTCTTTAAGATGATTTCACATATTTATTTAAAAATACAGAATGTAAATTCCCTTTAACACTTGCCAGAATTACCTGAAATGATTCCAGAGGCAGCCAAATTGGCAAATTGTCCAGCAAATTGTAAATGTTTGGTTTCCCAGGTTTGTGCATTCAAATTTGCCTCAAATGAGCCATACAATTCATGAAAGCTCATCATCTTCATGAATGAATTGCAGAATTCTACATGTGGATTTTCATACCAATAATAAATATGCAATTTGCAACCTAAATATGACATTCATTAGACATTTCTTTCATCCCCGGGGACAAACAATATGCCTATTTGTATTCTCTTTGTCTCCTTTTCCTTCAAATAAAAAGGAGCTCACAAAACCTTGTAAAACCTGTTCTCCTAATGATGGAAGAGGAACCAGCCTGAAAGCTTTAGGCAATTAACTCTGTGGCTCTCCACCATCCCCCATATTGCTCTGTTGGCAGTCATGGGGATGGTCCTATAAGATCATGCCGTTTCTTACAGGGGTAGGTGTGTTACCTCTTTGTGTTTAGGCTGTAGTCAATGAAAGTAGCTGTGTGGGGACATCACTTCTATTTATCTTACCGTTCTCTAACAATCAGCAATGGAAACTACAGATCTGTAGCAGTTCCCTTGAGTGAAGGTCTCATTACATGTCGGCCACATACAATAAACCTGAAACCAGCTGGTGTCTTCCTAGCAAGACACTTTACTCCCTAATCTCTACACGAAAGCATAGTTTATGTGGGATTAAGCTCTTATTAACTTAGAAGAGAAACCTCTATTAACAATCAATTTGTAGCTATTTATTTATTAGTGATACATTTTACACAACTCTGAGAGCAAAATGAATTGACATTTAAGTATTCAGCCACAAGAAGTGTTACTTGTGTTTGAATTGGAATGTATGATCATTAGGAGAAGCACCCTTGAAGTTGCAGGGGAGAGGTTCCAAAGATGTCATGTCTATGAAAGTCTCAGAGTCCCAACCCTGACATCCTGCCCTTGTCAAGGGAAAAAAAAATGTTAGGCTATAAAACCTGCTCCAATCCCTATTGTCCCACTTAGAGATAAATCTTCCAGAGCTCATCTACACATTTTGATTTTTTTTTTTTTACGCATGTAATTTTTATTAGTATTTCAAAAGGATACAATACAAGACGGTAAAAATAAAAAAAAAAAGTTACAAGAGGAGCCATGTTATAACAATAAAGGTTTACATGCCCCATATCATCTTATGAACAGGAACAGGCTTGTCACGTAGGTAGGAGGCATGATATATGGCAGTCCACTCCATCATTATTATGGATCCACTATAACAGTTCAAACAATTAATCTAAATCCTAATATTCAATGCTTAATATTGAACATCCTTCACAGAAAAGGAAAAGAAAGAAAAATAAAGAAAAACTACGCTTGGTACACCACGGAGTAAGAGCAGAGAAAATAAACTACGCTGTCAATACCCTTTCAAGTTGTTATAACATCTAATCATTATTCGGAGTCTACCAGTAACATGTGGGACAGGTTGTTCGTCAAGGGATCTAAGGGCCTACTGTTAGGGGTGGTGTAAAGGAAGTAATGAGCGTGTCAATGAGGGAACTCCATAAGGTCGGTCTCCTTACAGTGAGTTGTAGGATCGTTTTCGCCTGGTGGGTCTATAGTACGGCTAATCCCCCTAGGGAATTTGAGATTTTGGCTGTAAGGTACCATTTGGAATGTTGAAAGCACCGCATGATATCTTGGAGTTGGGAGGGAGAGAGGGTCACCGTCAGGAAGGAGGACCATGTGGAAAAGAAACGTTCTATGCGCTTCTCCTCATTTTGTGTGTCTGCCTTGTCGAGAAGCCACATTTTGATTTTATTGGAGACAGGTCAATGGGATGCTCAGTGCTTAGTATTTCATATCTAAGGGAATATGTGATGGTTTTGTTAACATTTCTTTATCATTTAGTGTAATTAATAATGTTGAGGACTAAAAAATAGGGAGGGGGGGTTGTAAATATAATGATTTTATATGTTTTCAGCCAGAAGGGGGAGCTCTTGGCTAATTTAACTGGTCTACAGGGAGAATGCCTCATATATGAAAATAGCTAAATTTTACCAGAATTGGGTCACTAATGAAGAAAAAGTAAGCTAATTGCATCAAAATAATTCAAAATTACGAGGATGTGCAATTATGCTCCATAACTTTTCTGCAAAATGTGATAGCAATGAGAATGGTGCCACACTAATCATTATAAATGTATCTTTTTTATTGATACCAATAACATAACTTTCCATTCATTTGTTGGTTTTTCATGTAACATTTTCATGCTTTTTGCATGAAAATCTGACAAACTCTATCAGATTAAACGACAAGGTTCCATCTTTATTCGGTATCTAAGCTGCGCTTTTTGGCTTTTCACTTGTGAACTGCACTAGGATCATCTCTGGAAAGATTCTTGAGATCCTTTTTGAATTGTGGGAACCATGAAAAAATAGCAGTCGCTACTATGATTGGTGGGTTCCCTCCACACCATTGGGACTGCGAAAGGCATGGACTTGTTCTTCTTGTTTAGCCAATGACGCACATGTAATGCAACAATAATGAGGGGCCTGACTCTAGTCCTGTTCCCCTATGCCTTTTTTTTTACCACTGCCGTCATACTGCACTTTTGAGATGCAAATGTCACCTCTTCCACAAATGTAGCAGAAGTTATCAGCGTTGTTTACGCAGTTTCGAAGCATCTTGGCTTCTGAGGGAAAATATCATGCAACTGTTCCTTGGAAATGATAGGCAATGGCACTTTCACAAGCCACCAGATGTAACTGTATGATGCGTAGATCTGACCAAGACAAATGTACCTTCCAATAAAAGAACAATACATTACATTTGGGTAATAATCTTTAGTCCCAAAGTGAAGATAAATGTATACACTTCCATGTGGTACCATTTCCATTGTTCTACCGTACTTTGTCAAGAAGTTACGAGGCATCAGGATCATCAGACACCTCCCTCCCTTGTAGACAAATATACTCGCCTGTGTATGAATCTTTATTGTGAAATATCTTGAAACCTTTAGCCAACCAACACCTTTATCACCCGTTTCTAATTCATCTAATCAAAATATGTAAGAATTAACACAATTTATCTTGGAGGTCAATCATTTCCCAAAATATGTAGATCAGTGTTTTCACTTGTTTTTTTTTCTCTCCCTTTAGAAACTGATGTATAAAACCTGTTCTTCACAGACCTCAATAGCTTAACCTGAAAGTTACATACACAAATAAATTAGTCAGAGAAGCGACAAAGTCAGAAGTGTAAAGTTTCAGTCAAACAAACGGGGTCTCAAACCAAACAGTGTCTGCTGTGTTGTCTCTTTAGCTAACCCATAGGGTTTTTAAAATACTTTGTTATGTATTATACACTCATTTGATAAAACAGTTTGGGGTCAATTCACAAAGAGAAACGTTATCTCTCTAGTTGTTAATTTACCTCTCCTTATTTGTCTTTTGACAAATTATTTGTCGTACAGTTTGAGCGATTGTCGCGCGTTTTCGAACGTGCGACTGTTCATTGTGTGTATATGTAATATATATA